ATGTTATTTTGAATCACTTCATTAACTTCCAAATTAGTTATATTATTATTCAAAATGTGTACAATGTGAACGCTTGCGAACGAACGAACTTGTGCAGCTACTTTTGCAGCTACCTGCAAATATTCGTTCGTTCGTAAGCGTTTGTTTTGGTTAGAATGCACCTTAACGAGAACATAGATTTGTGATATTAATATTCCTTAAAATCTCTTATGATTTCCAGAACATGTGATTATGGTTTTTGTTATAAACATAAACAGTAGATGTCAAATACAACAAATACTAAGCTTAACGAATACCCAACTTACACCATTTACCGAGTGTCCAGTTTCCGAACGATAAAATTTGTCATTAGAAATTATTATCCTGCATATTCTATATAACTAATATAACTAATATTAATTAATCAAGATTTTGTTTTAATATAAACACAGCAAGTGAATTTGTTAATAAAACTTTCACAGCAAATTAACAAAACTCCAGAAAAATGCGTGAACATAAAATTCAAGTACGGTTTTGAGTCAATTGGTTAAGAAATACTAACTCTGAGCCTTAAATTTGGCAGTGCACGAGTTCGATTCCTTGTATTTGCAGTCTCAAAAAAATTATTTACGAATAATTAAATGCAAGAATTATATCCAAGACCACTGATGATGGGTATATGGCAATACTCGAAACAGCTGTATGGTCAGCCAAAAATTCAATTAATTAAAATAATTTAAAAAATAAATTTTTGTTGTTCTAGTTCACTACTTTTCGAAACCTCTTTATAGAATAATTATGAAATAATTATTGATAATTTTATTTAATACAATATATTAAAAACCTAAAAATTCTTTTTAAATTCAGTTATAGTGTAAAACGTACATACGTATTAAAAATTATTTTGTCAACATATAAACGCATTTACTTGTTAAGGTACCCAAAGCTGTTATATGTGTTATACACTACTTGCAATTATGTAGCATTCTACATATGCTGTTTATGCCAAACATTTGTTGTGCATTGTCACACCATGACCTTCAAAATCACAATGTTTTGATTTCACTCTACACATAGGGAAGCTTGCAGCAATATATGCGCTGAAAGCTTTTATCAGGAGAAAAATTATTGGTGCACACTAAAATTGTAGGAGAAAAAAATTATTATTAATAAGTAAAACCTCCAGTTCTACTCCTACAATAAATTTTGTGTTCACAGTTTTTTAAAACCCTTGTATGTATTTAAAACTTTATGCATGCATATATAGTAAATTTATAGAACGATTGGTTTGTATGTAGATTTTGTTTATAACAAAATTTGATTGTTGATATTTATTTACTCACGTTAAATTAACTAATTTATTAGTTAATTTAAATATAATGTAGTATATTTTTATTTAATTTTTATAAACATATATATATAAATTAATATAAGATTTTTTAAAATTATTTCAAGTGTCTCACATCAATTACAGCAAAATAAAGTTTAGAAGAGCCCTATCTCAATAAAGTTTACTCTGCTCCGCTTTTATATTTTGTCGTTTCTACCGTTTTTGCAAAAAATTGAGCACAATTTTAACGAGAGCCGAAATTTGCAAACATTTCAGCTGGATTGTAGTCTTTTGCACAAGAGGAGTTTACGCACTGTTCAGTATTGAATTTTCAGTCAACGTGAACCCAAGTGCGGAGGAGGAGAAGAAAAAGAAAGATAATAATCTAGTTTAAAAATTGAAGTGTGGTTAGTGTTAAATATTTATTTATTTATTTGTTATAATAAATAAAACTTTTTGAATATTAATATTCAAATAGCAAAATATAATGTGTTTACAAAAACGCATTTAATTAAGGAAATTATTCAATTTTACTAAAAAAAAATCCTTTTTTGTTTTTGTGTCGTTATATGAACTGAAGCTGCGTTGCTAATTTAGTTTGTTTCGTGGGATTTTTAATATAAAAAAAAAATAAACAAAAACTTAAAATTAGAAGAGATTATGGAAAAAAGTGTATATTTCTGTCTACGTGACTTCATAAGAACCGAAAGGAAATATAAATTTGTTTTTGTGCATTTTCCTAATAATGTCGGTGGAATGATGTGATAGGGGTTTTTTTTTTGTTAGTCCGTTTTTCTGTTTTCTGTATATGTGAAATGACGGCATGTAATTTGGAGTATCACGTTCCAAGCATGTGATGTTGGTGGCTTCCTACCACAATGTGAACAGCTTTCAAATATTGATAAATTTGAAGAAGAGGATAATAAATACAAATTAGTTAATTAAAAATTTTTATGAAATTATAATAAAAAGCCAATCCTTTTCAGTCTAGGATAAATAAACATTGACAATATAAATTTTGTTAAAGAATATTTAATGAAATACATCACATAATAATATTATCATATTTACAAATACTTATTGTTTTTGTTGACATATTATTTGTTGCCTTAATTATAGCTTTATATTAATTATTAATATCGGATTACTTGTATTTTTTTCAAATCCATAATTTCTCCTCCTCTTCCTATTCATCCATTGTTATAATAATACACCATAAGCATTGAATATTTGATTAGTTCACCTTTTGACTTGATACGAACTTAATTAAATATTAGTAAATATTAATTTACAAAGTAGTTTTCATTTTCATATGTGGATATGGGTTAAATATCCACATATTCTACATATGTCCTTTTGAAGACCATCGACCGGCTGACATACTACATACTGCCAAAAGTAAAAAAAAATCCTTCAACAAGGGCAAAAATAATTATTGATTTTTGTTTTGGCCCCAAAAAAAAAAAACTGACATGAAATTGAGAAGTTCAGCCGTGGCGCCTTAGTTTTTTTCCTGAATCTTGTTGCACATTGGAGTGGGTTGTGTTGTTGTTATACTACATTTTAATTGTTTTCTTTGTCAACATGGAAGACCCCATTATTTCATTGAAGTACACATGAAACCATGAAAATGCGTTTAATATAATTGATAAAATTTATGAAAAAGAAAAAAAATATATAAACTATTATTTTTTTTAAACTACGCAATTTTATTAATTCTACGTTTTAAGGCATTGTTGCAGATAAACCTTGACCTTGACTCTATATTTTTTAAATCATATTTTGCTTCCCTCACAATTTAGATTTCTAGCATAGAATTTATTCCAAGGACTTTACTAATTGCATTTTTTGCTAGAAGAGTATATTTCAGTGATTAATTATTTAAATTATTACAATAAGTGATGGCACTCCAATTGAAGGTCTGGGCGCCATACTAAAAAAAACAATGGACATTAATAAAAAATAGTATCCAATATAATATATATAAAATCATTAAACAAAATTGAGTTATAATTGGACAAAACCCTAAAAAAGTATATATGCTTTAGGTACTTAAATTTTTAGTGTCTGAGATGAGTTATTATTTCTGGTATATTAGAAACTATACTCAACTATAAGTGTATTAAGTCCTTTTAATTTGATGGATTAAAAATCTTTCAAGGATTAAACACATTTTATATTGAAGGGTTATAACTTAAAGGATTATAGGAGTTAAATAACACTCCGTTTAATTTAATGGATTAAAAATCTTTAAAGTTGAAAAATTAAAAATTTTGCAAATTGAAGGATTAAACACATTTTAGATTGGAGGATTATAAATCTTTTAAATTAAAATTTGAAGTATTAAATAATTTTTATATTTTATTTTTCCTGTCTGTAAGTTCCTGTAGTTTAATTGGTCTAGTTTGTTTGTCATTTATTATAGTCTATTTTATCCATCATGAGACAATCATGATGGCATCTTTGTATGAATAGAGTATTTGTTTATAAAAATGATTTTCCATTGTGTTTATTATTAGTATCTCTTGTTTAAAATTAGGTAGAGTGCAAAAAATACAGATATTCCTCTATATGTGGTGGGAACATATCACCAAACTCATTGCGTGCCTTAGTTCTTTTCTAAATTTATGCAAGTAAATTAAAATTTGTAAATAATTAATACATAAGTAGTATGAAATTATACTAAAAAAAGAAAACAGCCAGAAACTGGATTGCATCTTTTGATTTAAGAAGTTCAGATAAAGTGGATCAACAGCAATACCAGTCTCATATATGTACATTGAAATTTAAGTATTCTTAATACCAATTTCAACCATTCTAAAATCTTATAAGTATCATGTTAGAATTTTTTTAAAAATATGTGTAGCACATTTCCAATTGTCTAAGCACATTTATATTTTTATTCAATATATTATCTTAATTAACAAATGAATTGTCACTGAAATTAACGGCCTGAATAACCAGCTTCCTAACTGTACAGTTTTAAACCAATATATTTTTTCTTAGTTTGGTTCCGGTTTTTCACTTCGTCAAAAATATCAATTTTTTTAGGTATTTAATTCAATTTTATTAAGTTTTATTAATAAAATTGAAATATAATCTTTAATTACTTTAAAAAAAGTATATATTTTTTTATATATATGAAACATTTCATAGGGCAACATCACATGTATGTATGTAGTTGTAAAACTTTCGAAGTTTCTAATACTAGAGATCTGTAATATATATTCTTAATAAATATTTTGAATACTCAAGAGGGTAACAACATCTATACATATAAAATGTATACGATAAAATAGGTGTAAAGCTTTTGCTGTTTTTTTTATATTAGAGATCTAGCGATTGTTAAGTAGTTTTATTAAAAAAGAATAATCACCTAAATAACATAATTAGTTATGTGTATATAAGTATAAACATCTACACTAACAATACCAGAAGAACGCGCTCATTAATGACTTCAGCTTTAAGTGTTTGTCTCTTCACATTTAAAACTCTTTAAAAAAAATGTTAATAACATGTGCAAGGTTTAACATAAAAAGCAGCAGGTCAAGACTAAATAAATGATGCCTTCATCTGTATAATTTTCTTAAATGTGTACTTCTTTAAATATATACTGACATATACGTATATAATCATATGGATAGCTTTTTATTACAATCACTAAACAAATTTATTTATTTTTTATTTTCAGTATTAGAGCAATATGCCACCAAACGCAGTACCCAACTCACAATCTATAACAGATTCCTTGGCTGCAACTGTAGCCGCAAATGGAAACCCAAAGAATTTACACGAATCGTCGACTGGTAAGTGGAACTCACACTATTTTACCTTCTAAGCGTAACCTGTTATTCGATGTGTTCTTTTTTTTTTGTAAATGCTAGGCGTTCTTTTCGAATATGATGCCGAAACTATTGATGGTGGTTTGGTCAAAGACATTGAAAAGTTAAAAAAAGCAGAAAAACGAAAACTGAAGTTAGTTTGGCGAAATATAATTGCCTTTGGGTATCTACATCTCGCAGCTTTGTACGGAGCTTGGTTGTTAATCACGTCAGCCAAATGGCAAACTATTGGTTTTGGTAAGCGAAAAATTAACTACAATTTTGTTTTCTAGTTGTACGCTTAAAATTGTAAATAATTATAAATTAACAAAATCTTGTAAAAATATTCATGATGATATTTTCTATGTCGCAGTTGTGATTGTTGTCATTTACACCTTGTCTTATATAGAAAATTTTAATTTGTATATGATATCTGTATGTATATTAAAAACGCTACCTCACCATTATAAAATCTTTTGAAATTATAAAATTTGAACTCTTTAGGTTAGTTTCGACAAACATATTTTCGCGAACCCATGGCGATAACCTAACTGCATGCAGACACTTAAAATGTGCCTTTATGTCTCTTTTTGCTATTAAGTTCGAGTTCAAACAATTTAGCCAGAGATAAGATTGATTTAAATTTTATATTTCTTTTGTTTTCATATTCTTTTCTTTTTACGCAGTATTAACTATTTAAAAATAATTATAAAAATATTTCTATATTACGTTTTTGTTAATAGAATTAAATGATACAATGTGCTTAAAACTTAAACAAAATCAAATCATTTTTTATATAAAGTAATAGACTAATATTTCAATATATATAAACAATATATCTTTCCCCAAAAAATAGCGACGTCCGACGTACTGTTCTTACTGCACTTAGGTGAAGACATAGTCTTCTGCTCAATAGTTACTTAAAAAAAAGTTATTTGATTGATTTTTAACATGTACCTAAGTTCGGGTTTTACATACCATCAGGAAATGGGGAGAAATGTACAGATCACTGACTTAATATTGTAGACCAAAGTATACCTGTAAACAATTTCTTATCCCATCAAAAGGAATATCAAAGAATTGGATTAATCCAACTGATATTGAAAGCTGAGAACACATTCTTTGTGAATGTTCAACTTCTATGAGATCAAGTCTTCAGCATTTACATTGTATGCGTCCATATGTTATATACTCTGAAAACACAAATCACTAACTGCGTAAAATTGATCAAAACCCTAACTATTCTCGACCCAGGCTAATTTCAATTAACAGCCACTCGCGCCCTTATCCTATCTCTCACGATCAATCTTGTCCTGTTTTATGTCATCCTCCGCACACTCCATTCCAAGCTATGTTTTCGCGTATTACCTGCTCTACAGCTTACTTTAGATAACAATAAAAACAACCTACGTAACATATAGTTACGATGGAATTCTAAATCCTTAGACTAATTAACGTCAACAAGCTAAATTTTTAGAACTCATCTAAGTTGCTTTGTATAAATTTAAATGTAATTCAAAATTAAATTTTATTCATATCAAATAAAAAATTTGAAAGTATATTGCGTTTCAAAAACATTTTGTTAAAATCAAAATTGTGTGTCAATCCTTGTAAAGTGAATTATTAGTTGGACATAATTTAACTACAATGGATTGTTATAATATTCCAAAGAAGGTGAACAGACATGTATTGTCCGCCATGCATTACTTGTCATCGGGTAAGCCGCTGGGAACTCCGATAAAAGAGAAGGAAATAATTGATAGAGTACGTTTTCAAATGAAAAGATTAGTACCTGTGCCGAGACTTGCAAATGTTATAAGAAAATCGCTTAGGAATATGGAAAACCTTAGTATTGTTTCAGAAATGCGTCCACATCATTTTAGTTATCATTGCGATTCGAGACAAACCCTGTTACAAAGTAGTCCGGAACAGGACAATTTATTTAACCAGAATATATTTGTTCCAAGAGGAAAGAGGAGTTATCAGTGGACTGAGGGTCCTGCAAACGAAAGAAATGATTGGAGACGTTTACCTCAGCAAAGAAGATTGGAAGAGATATATTTTGATGACATATCTTTCAAATCTAGTTTAAATAGTAGTAGTACATATGTAAGTTACTAATACTATTAAAAGCATTAAATTTTTTTATAAAAATACATGTTTTATGTAGATGGGACAATACGATTATATGGAGCTGAGTGATGACGAGGACTCACTTTCGACTTTATCGGATTATGAAATTCAACGCCTACGAAGAAGACTACGTGATGAATATTATTATAATGACAGAAGAAGGATTGAACGTGAACGGCGTTATAGAAGAGCTATGGACCAGATTTATAATAATCATACAAGAAATGAGCGAAATTACCGGAGAATGAGAGGAACAAGTAGATATAGTCACCATGGGGGGGTTCGTTTAGCTACCTCTGCTGAACTGGCAAGAATGCCACATGGCATTAAGAGATTTGCAGGTCCTCGTATAATAAAACAAACTCCATCATCTTCTTATGGTTGTTGCATAAATGAAATTGAAACTCAAGAAAAACCTCCTCTACTTCAAACGGAAGTAGAGGAGAAGAAAGATATAATTTGCCAACAACCTACATTAGATGCTGCAGAATATATATGGGAAAGTACCAGTTCTACCATTCACAGCGATTTTGAAGCACAATTTAGAGCAGAGAAAGAAAAGGATTTATTTGGCCAACATGAACAAGAACCATTACTTATGGCAACATATGTTTCCAATAGAAATGAAACTGCAAGTTTAAATCTTAGCACAAGAGTAGATAAAACTGAAGCAACCATTTCACAGAGCAATTTAGAAGCGCAATGTGAAACCATGAAGGAGGAAATCACATCTGATCAAGTTTCAAGTATAAAGGAAACCCAACCATCTGCTTCAGGCAGCAAAACTCAATCACCTTCTTCGGGTGGTAATTTGGAAAATTGTAATCAATACTCAGAGAGCAGTTCTGAAGATTACCATAGCTGTGATAACATAATTTTGAAATATGTTAGATAGAAGTAAATGGTACCATCAAAATCTTATGTATAAATCAATCATTATAAAAACATATGGAAGTATCAAAAGGATCATGGATAAGTTATTTTATTAATATTTTATTAATAATAATATAATATTAGAATATAATTAATAAAGGTGTACAAAATTATATTAGAATCACATATATCCGTTGTATTTAATTGAATGTTACAAGTCTCTTAATTATTTTGTATTTAGCCAAACATATTTTAATATAATATAATAACTTAGTTCTTAATCGAAATCAATACATTACTTGTATTTTGCAGCTTTCTTCTTATACGTTGTATCCGGCTTAGGTATAACAGCTGGTGCTCATAGATTATGGGCACATCGTTCGTATAAAGCTAAATGGCCGCTGCGACTCATGTTGATGATTTTTAATACTATTGCCTTCCAAGATGCTGCTTATCATTGGGCCCGTGATCATCGAGTACATCATAAATTCTCCGAAACCGACGCTGATCCACATAATGCAACGCGTGGCTTTTTCTTCTCTCATATTGGTTGGTTACTTTGTAAGAAACATCCTGAAGTAAAGGCCAAGGGAAAAGGTATGGACTTATCTGATTTGCGTGCTGATCCCATTTTAATGTTCCAAAAGAAGTAAGCAATAAACTCATATAATTTTGTTATTTTAATATAAATACACATATATATTATAGATATTATATGCTGATAATGCCATTAGCTTGCTTCATCATTCCAACCACAATACCAATGTATTACTGGAACGAAAGCTTCCTGAACTCATGGTTTGTTGCCACAATGTTCCGTTGGTGTTTTATCTTGAATGTAACTTGGTTAGTAAACAGTGCTGCACATAAATTTGGCGGTAAACCATATGACAGGTAATATTTTGATACAAAGCTAAACTGAATGAGTACATCTATTAATATTAATATTTATTTAAAGGCATATTAATCCAGCGGAAAATCGCTCAGTTGCTGCATTTGCTTTTGGCGAGGGATGGCATAACTATCATCATGTGTTCCCATGGGATTACAAAACCGCAGAATTCGGTGATTATTCATTGAACTTGACAACCGCTTTTATTGATTTCTTTGCCAAAATTGGTTGGGCTTATGACTTGAAGAGCGTATCACCCGACATTATTGAAAAACGTGTAAGACGTACTGGTGATGGATCCCATGCTACATGGGGATGGGGCGATCAGGATCAACTCAAAGAAGAAATTGATAATGCTTTGATAACGCATCAAAAAAAAGAATAAATTATAACCGAAGTGTATGGGACGGGACGGGAGCGTTAAAAGTAAATTGATTCAAAATACTGTTAGGTATTCATGCAAAAATGTCTATTTTAATTTACTTAAAATAGTGAATAAAAGTGTTATCCAAAATAGCAATTAGAAACTGAAAACCATTACACTTGTTAAAGAAATAATTGTTTAAATAATGCTCCATCTTTTTTCTTTTTAATATTCATAAACTTAAAAGTAAAATATTTGAAGAAAATAACTACGCGAGGTCTGTGTTAAGCTAAGCTCTGGAATTTCTTTTTTATAAACAAACTGGAAACCAGTAATTTACGTTCTTCTCTAAATTTTATAAACGGTTTTTAAAACTTCAGTTGTAAGAACAATTTAGTATAAGTAGCTATGCTCTATGTCTGGCACATAATCTGTTAAATAATACATTTTTTTATTATTTCAAACCAAAATACACATTTTTTGCACATTCAAAAAACAAAAAAAACACAAAATTAAAACCATTATTAATTTAAAAACAAATAGTTTTGAAATGCAAATACATACTTTTCAAATTGAAAGAAAGCAGATGAATTACAAATAAAAAGGGAAATTAGTATTTAAAGAAATATTAAATATGTTAATTATAAAAAAATAAAATATATATACATATATATATTATTATCGCATACGAATTGTTAAGTAATACCTAAAAGTGAAATATACTGTTTTTTTTAACTTTATAATACAACATTAACTGTATTGATTATTATTGAAACAAATCAATAAATAAATAAATTATTAAAAAAACGCCATTGTTTATTTTGTTCTCTTTTAGGATGTTTTGCTAAAATATTTTACTTCCTTATGGTATTATACAAATCTTACCGTTATCCAAGCGGATCGACAACATTTTCCTGAAACTGTTCTACCTACGGCATTACTATAAGCAGGAATCCAGTATTTCTTAGGTGTAACAGTTGTGATATATTGTGCCACCTCCGTCGCTGAAACCCTATCTAAAGCTTGTTCAACAACTTTCCTAAATAGAGACTCCCCACCGTCGTCAACGGTTTGTAGTCCCTTTCCAAACAATGCCAACCCATACTTCTCCATACCGGTAACTTCTTTCCCACCCACTAGATAGCTATATACAGTTTCCCATAAATCTAAAGTTGCAGCAACATCAGTTGCTACGTTAAATCTATTTCTAGATTGAGATGGGACCATGGAGTACAGTTTCCGTTGTTAATAACTGCCATCCAAAGTAATATCCTAAACCCGCTCACATCAAATAGCCGATTTCTTATTTGGTGTACTTGTTGACCACACGTCAACCAGGATTTCAATCCTGCCAACCCAAGGTCACTTGACATGCTCGAGTGTTTAGTTGTTTATTTTTGTAAGCTCCGACAAGCCAACTGTATTAATTCCTCAAATATATTTATATTTGACATTTGTTGGTTTTGTTGTGTTGTGATCAACCTTGGAGTGCAATATGGCAGATGAAATGAAAGAATCAACAAATACAGAAAATAAGGAAAGTGTTTGGGATTTTAATTAAACCTAACCTGCTTTAAAACTGAAACGTAGTCACTTCAATGAAACAGAGTCAAAGATCAATTAGACTTAAGTTAGTATGTGTATTAAAGCATAAAAACAGATATGTGCCATAATTGGGGTAGAGCTGCAATGCAGGCAACTGTTTAGCACATGACTATGTTCTGACCTCAATTAGACTAGAACAGTTATTGACACAGTAATTATCTTATGCTCACACATTACAAATATTTTCAACTGGTGGATTATACACGTATTTACATAGACATATAGTAACAGTGTTGTTTAGCGCGGGTACCTGCCATGAAACCATGCATTAAGATAATGCGCTGATAAACGCTCCATTGGAAATTCTAATAAGTTTCCGCCAGTTCCAAATGAATTAATGTGTTTTTGCGCAATAACTTCCTCCTTTGTAAGGAAGAGGCCTTCCAATACCTCTGTTCGTCTTTGGGTCTCAGCACTCGGTGGTGAATATGCAACTCCACTCCGAATGAATTATAAACAAATATCGATCATTCTTAACGCGAAAGTATAAGTACCAACCACAGCCACTATGACTATGCAAATCAGTACTTGACCAGAACAGCCGAAGCTGTAGGCACCTGACCCCCGTTGTATCAGACTTACACCTCCGGTCGGGTGTCACAAGTGCCGTATCAATTAATACCATATACACTTTAAGAGAGTGTCGGCATAGCAACGGGATTTTAGTCGCCTTTTCCGACAAGCATGCCTACCACTAGAATATTCTAACCCCTCATCCGCAGGGGGAAGATACATACATAGGCATACAGCAGACATGCATACACACTTATAAATAAAAAATATACAGTTTCCATGTGACACCTACTTGAATTTTGTGAGCATACAAATCTACAGCGCCACTTGCTATACGGCGTACCAAATGTGCATATAAGCGTCGTATTGTCTAATATTCTTAAATTATCTCTGACAAAATATTTACAATAATATTTATGTTTTGTTTTCTTTTACTATGTTCGAACGCACTACATGTAGCAATTTAAATTCTTAAAAAATTAAATAAAAGGTGAATAATATTGCTGTATTCCTGCTTGCTGTTTTGTTTGTGTAAATGTTAAAGATAATAACATTCGAAAGTTTATTTTTATTAGTGAATTATTTAACACAAGCATGAGTAAACCACGTATAATGAAGCATCACGTATGTTGCATTGTTCGGAATTGTCCAGGACGCAATAAAAAAGAAATCCAACTTCACAAATTTCCAGAAGACTCTCAAGAAAAAGATTTATGGTGTAAAAATATTGGTGTTCCTACAGCAAAAGTTCGCAGCACAGCGCGTATATGCAGTCGACATTTCGACGACATGCACCGTGTGAGAAGAAGATTGAAATTTGGAGCGCAACCAACATTAAACTTAGGTAAAACTATCTTTGGTAAAACTATAAACTATTAATACCTTTATTTTGCTTTTTATATTATTCTAATAGATCATTCAGTTGCTACTAATCCTTACTGCGAAAGCCCAGATTCAAATATACGCAAGTGCGCTATACAAGCTTGTCCAGCAACAGAGCCACCTAATACTTTGTTTTCATTTCCACAAGATGACCAAAAAAGATTGGAGTGGATTAAGGCTTGTGGTATGGAAAGTGAATCTCAAACTTCCCCGTTGTTCATATGTGCCGAGCACTTTGAACCACATATGATTATGGAAAATAAACTTAAATGCAATGCATTTCCAAAGCAACACGAAGTTCTGTTCAAAAAGGAACAAGAAATAGACATAGTAGACTGTGAGCAATTGGAAGATCCAAAAATAAGTGAAGATGTAAATAACAGTTCAAACCGTGGATATTGTAATAATTGCGATTTCTACAAAAAAGAAACTGAGAAAGAACGAACTTTAAATAAAGTGAAAAGTCAGGAAATTACAAAATTAAAGAAGAGAATTGTACAATTACAAGCCGAGATTGAAATGTGGAGAGACATGGTGAGAGAAGCAACTGAGGATGCATTATATGCAGATAACATTGTTATATAGTAACGGATTAAAGCAACTTAAACTGACCTAAGTGCCCTAAACCATGTAGTTATTTTAAAGCATACTCTATGCTTGTGAACTAAATGGTGTAAGAATCTGTGTATACTTTTTCACTGTCTTTTTTTTGATATTGTTTAATACGAAGGAATTTATTATAATTAACATAAAAGAAAAAGAATACATTATATGTAAGAAAATGATGTATGTATAAACTAGAAACTCTTATTATAAAACATTTAAAAATAAAACAAAATCTTAGAATTGAAATAATTTCAATAAAAATTATGCAGTAGTTATTGTTGCGTTGGAACATTTCCATATGATTACCAAAATAAACTAATATATTTACGATGAAAGTAATCAACGCTCAGAAAGAAAATCTAAATGGAATAAACATTTTCCAATCATAGTAGTAAGAAATTTGCATTATAAAAATTTCATTTTTGTGAAAAAAATCACATATTTAGTTTAACATATATTAATTGTTATTTATAATCCATTTTAACAAAATAATATTATTTTTTAAGTAAATTAGAAACGTATTTTTAAAGCATGAGAAGCGCAACAAGTAAAAATATTCATGTGTACAAAAAATTATTCTTCCTTAGGTTTTTTCTGTTCATCTTTCTTAGTTTTTTCCGCTTCTATCTGTCTAGCTTTTTCTGCTTGTTTCGATTGTTCTAGCTTAGAAGCTTCGGCGGCTACCCTTTCATCATCCCAGTCCGCCATAGACATTTCGCGTTTCATCCAAGAATATGTAGTATCGCTTTTAAAAGCTGTTTGTAAAATTTAAATAATAAATTATAAATAAATAATTTCTGTTTCCAATTACTTACTTCTATTGAACCATTTGATGCCTTCTTGCATTTGATCTATTATGTCCTTTGATGTATACATAATTTCATTTTGTACGGCTTGATTAAAGTTAATAGCACCGAAAACTGCAGAGTACAATGAATTACGATCATGTCTAAGTGCGCCTTGTGGAAATCTGGACAGAGTAGTTGCTAGCTCCATTGCTTTACCCAGAGATGTTCCGGTTGGAACAATTCTATTCGCAATACCCATTTTGTACGCTTCATCAGCATTCACTTGTCGTCCAGTTAATATTAAATCTAAGGCTCTTGAAAATCCAATCATAGCGGGTAAACGTACAGTACCACCATCTATAACAGGCACACCAAAACGTCGATTGAAGAAACCTAAAATTGCTGTTTCCTCCATAACGCGTAAATCGCACATTAAAGCCAGTTCCATACCACCAGCTACGCAATAACCACTTATGCCGCATACAACAGGTTTACTTATAAATCTTCTTGTTGGACCAACAGATCCTTCTTGAGTCATTAGCATTTCCATACTGATGTCTTCTCTGTCTTCTGTAGCTAAATCTAATATATCAAATCCGGAACAAAATGATCCACCAACTCCATACAGCACAGCCACAGGTGATGTTTCATCTGCTTCGAATGCATTAAACGCTTCACATAATTTGGCTGCTGCAACTGCATCAATTGCATTTCTTTGTTCTGGTCTGTTTAGGCCAATTAAAGTTATGTTGTTATCTTTTTCCAGTAGTATAGTAGGTTTTTCTGATATTTTTTCCTTTGTATCTAAAAATATGAATGTTTATTGTAAATTATTTATATCGTTTATGTCACCACAACCTTCTTGCACCCACAGTTCTCTGGTTGTGCATATAGAACGAGCGAATGGAAGTGCAACATCCAAACTTTTATTTATTTGTTTTACTATTTGTCGTAACATATTGTGTTAAATATTTTATTAATATAGTAGATATAAATAATTATTTGGAAGTAAATTCCAATACAGTTGCCGGCCTTAATGAAATTCACAATAGTTTACCATATATCAGCTGTCATAGGGTTGTTGAAAAATTTTAAAACCTTATTGAAATAATATAGGGTGCCGAGGTGAAAAAGAATTTATGTTTCATGCTCTCCGATATAGTTCATTATTATAGATGTATATTAAATATGATTTGTTTAATTATTTCTAGGACATTGAATAGATTTCAGAAATTAATAATCTTTAAACTATCTTCTACCTCCAAACATACATACAGTTTAAACATATAAGTCAGGCATGTACAGGTCACAGTTTACTCTGGAGTTACCATTCACACAGATGGCACAAAGTTGGAGTGTGACACGGGAGCAGGTATCTTCTCGAAAGATATGCAGATAAGGTAGTCCTACCGACTCCCTGATACTTGCAGCGTCTTTCAAGCCGAGATAAAAAGCGGACAATTTTATACAACTAAATACAATTCGTCTTTGAAATATCACTATTTTTGTAAATAATGAAAGCAATTAAATCCAAAACAGTTAATTCGAAGATTGTATTAAGATGTCGCGCCACACTGATTAGCATCAAACATCACAAGGTCTCTCTTTCCTGGGTTCCTGGACATAGCAATATTCAAGGGAATGAACTAGCAGATAAGATGGTCAGAAGCAGTTCTGTACTGCATATAAGGGAGGCCGACCTCTCAGTACAAACACGACATGCGAACTGTTTATGAACATAGAGGAGTTTACTAATGCGGTGACTAATAATTTATGGGTTAACCGCGAAAACTATGAGAAGTCTAGGGCCTTATGAACTAGGTTGGACAAAAACTAAACGAAAGGCCTTTTGGCCTTCAGCAAATCTGCAGTTTGTGTACTTATTGAAGTACTAACGGGGCACTATGAGTGGAAGTGCTGATAACTGCCAACATGCGCCTTAACCTTACCTAACCACACAAGTCAAGTACTGCTTTGGATCAATAGGCTAAAGAAGCATTGACTCTGATTTTCAAAATTGACAAGGTACGAATTCAACCATTGGTGTCTAAAAATTATTTATGATATGTAGAACAATACACAATTCAACTAGAAATCCCACATGTACAAGGATGATGGTTATAAAAACTCTTAAAAAAAGTATTTGCTAGATTTTATTAAGATTATTAATATCACTGAAATAAATATAAAAAACAATTAAAAATGTAAGAATAGGTATATTTTAATAGAATTACATAGATTTTTGCCATAGACTAACAGTTAACTACGTTTAAAAAAAGGTACATAAAAATTGCCAAAATGAGTGTATTAACACAAATTTTTTTAAAGCTTAACTATAAATATATAATATTCTATAATTTAATTTTTATTTCATTATTTATTCTTATTCTTTTTCTCTCTTGCATAACGCTCTTCATGTTCTATTTCTGTCTTTTCCCAATCAGGTATAAATTTTTGCTTAATATCCCAGCTCTTTGTTCTGGAGCCTTTGGCTTTTGCTGTTTATAAAAAAAAAAAAATAATAATTAAAAAATATATATTTTTATATAAATATATATACAAATACAAACATTTTTCAAATCTTATGACACCCTCCTTCATTTCCTGAAGTACGTCGTGGGATATAGTTAAGACTTCATTTTGTGCACCAATACGAAATTCTTTTTTATCATAAACGTTTGCATACATAGTATTTCGATCATGTTGCAGTGCGGCATTTGGAAATTTTTCTATGGAACAAGCTAAATTCACTGCTTGGCCAAGACCTGTGCCCGTTGTAACTATACGATTAATTAAACCAAGTTCTAATGCCTCCTGTGCTGTTATGCGTCTACCGGTTGTAATTAAGTCCAATGCACGGGAATAACCTACAGATGCTGCTAAACGTACAGTGCCACCGTCGCTAAGTGGTACACCCATATAACGATTAAAGAAACCCATTACAGCAGTATCTTCCATAACACGGAGATCACACATTAACGCTAATTCAAGACCATTTCCAACACAAAATCCATTAATGCCGGCTACAACTGGTTTGCGTAAGTGACGTCGGGTTGGACCTGCAGCACCGTCTCGTTTTAATAAAAACTCTAGGCTGCCTTTTTCTATTTGCTCTTCCAGTTCTTTTACATCATAACCGGCACAAAATGACCCTCCAATTCCATAGAGTACAGCAACTGGAGAAGTTTCATCAGCTTCAAATTTATTTAAAGCTTCACATAATAGTGATGCGGTAGCTGAATCTATAGAATTACGATGTTCGGGACGATTCAGACCAATTAAGGTAATGTTTTGATCTTTTTCTATTATTACATTTGGCTCCGCAACCGGCTCTTCTATAACGTAATTATAATAATATATATTTTTTTAAAATAAGAATAACTTATACCTTTCTCTTTGTTATATGATGTTACATTTATATTTCTAAGAAATTGTTTATATTTTTGTGTATTTGTTATAATATTAAAATGCACATTCTTTCCTAATTTTAACATTTTACCAATATTATTAAACTACCACCAATCAAATTTTCTTTCAATTGCATTTTGTTTACATTCCGTATGCAAACAGCTGATTTGGGAAATTTAATAATTTCCCAAACAGCGGCTAAGTACATGGAACATGAACTTTTTGATTATTGAACATAGGTTCGCGCGCTGTGAGATTTGTTAATGGAAAAATAAACATTTAAATAACATGCCACATAAACTTGTTGAATTCTGTAACTTGTAACAGAAGACTTTATAATAAATGAAGAATTTTATATGATATGTATTTATTGTATTATAGTTTATTATATCATTTTTTTGGGTGTTTTTATAGAATCTAATGACTTGTTAATTTTTTTAAGATGCCATTTCTACAGTAAAGTTTTCTATATTAACTATTATTATTGAGTTTAAAATATTTATTTTCTTAGAATTACTTTAAATATATGTATACGTTTATATCTAATGTTATCTCATTGCAATTCTTTAATTCTCTAACAGTAACCAACTGTTCACACTTAAAATATTTGAATGTCTGTTGGAGTTTAACGTGGCGGACGATTAAACGCGCTCTTTAACTTTATTTACATTGACCGACATAGAACTGGGTTATGCATTGAGAACCAGGACCAGTGATAAGTGTAGTGATGTTTGTCGTATCTTAGATGATTTCTATAAGAGGAAACATTGTTCATTAAGTAAACAACTTGACTTTGGTGGTCATAGCTTAATCAGCATAAACAGTAAGTTAGCTAGGTTTACTCAGAAGTGTGTAAACAGCAAGCGGTATTTTGTGTGTAGGATTAATTCATTAAACAAAAACTTTAATATTGTGTTTTGAATTTTACTTTTTTATTTATTATTTTATATAATTATTTTATTTATTATTATATTATTTTTTATTTTATTATTTTATTTTAACTTAGGACACATATTTGTCATGTGGAATAAATTCACATAATTACTGTATTAAATTCAAGTATTTTATTTTTGTATCTTTTTTGAAGCTCTATAGTGGTTTTTAGGTATTTAGACTCACCTCATACACTCACTTTATATCTTTAAAATGTTAAAGATATTATTAAAGAGTTATTAGAGTAGAAACTATGCATAAATTGATTGTGATCAGTAATTAAGATTTATTGAAAATATTCAAAAGTTATTGGTCTCTATTGCTTTATGGTTCAAATTGATTACAATTACAACTACAATTTATTATTAGAAGGACTCCAATAAAATAGCAGTTATAGCAGCATTTTTCTGGAGTTAAGTTTTTTTCGTGAGGTATAATTTTTGACACTTCAAAATTTAAATTGCAGTGTTTATACTTACCTAGTCATTTACATACCAAAGCCATAAAAAACACTTCAATATTTTACTATGAATTTCACATAAATTACATTTATTTATATAATATATATTTTCGGGCGTTATGTGACGATATGTTTTGAACTTTAAAACAAATGCTTATGAATATTTTCTATATGAATTATAAATAAATTTATTATTAATATTAAAAATTTAGCATTTTCCATTTGGAATTCCACAACAAAAACGATTTAAAATTTTTAGCCTAACTACAAAAAAGTAAAAAGTGTTTATTAAATTTAAAAATATTATGCTACATAAAAACGTTCTGTATTATTTTCAATTGATTTAAAAATATTTATAAATTACAACAAAAGCGTTTTTACTTTAGTTATTACTATCGAATTAAAATATTTGCAATTAAGCAGAAAATATTTAATTTTAATATTATTACCAAAAAGTAAAAATACACATTTTTTTAAAGTAAATTTATACTAATTGTATAAAACATTATTAAACTATTAATATAATATGTACAAATAAATAACGAATTTCGCTAGGACAATGAAAAATATACTAATTATTAAAATGTTTATAAAACAGACATAAATACGAAATTATATTACAGACATACCATATTCAAATACATTAAAAATTATATATATATATATATATTTTGTATATAATTGAATAGCATAATTATTTTATCATATTTAAATAAAAATGCTTTCTGTGTATATATTTTAATTAAGATGTTGCATACCGTATATAAATTTTAATTAATTAAAAATTATACAAAATACATATTGTAAAGTGTAAAGTGCAAAAATAATTTTTACAAATATCCTTATTTTAATTTATTTTAAAAAATAATTAAAAAGCTGGCTTTAAACCACTGCATAAATGGTACTTGGCGATTGAATATTGTATATAGCAAATGTGTCCTTTAAATAAATAAAATTTTTTTTTGCGTTTACACGAGAGCATTTTTGCAACCATTGGTTTATTTTGTGAACTTCATAATGTTTTTGTATTCCTGTGATTTGATACTTTATGTACATTTAATAGGAATGAAATTTTAAAATATCATAAAGGGAAGCGTATTTATTTTAAGCGTTGAGTGACATTTGCCAAAGCCACAGCGAACGCCTGTAATGCAGAGAAGGGATACTGAAAATCCAGTGTATAGGCGTTGCCATCGATACGTCCAAACTGCATAACCTAAGATAGATAATAGATAAGAAGATAGATAAGATAGAAATAAAATAAGATAATATTTAGAATATAAATAAAATTTTTTTAGAATATAAATAAAAATTAATAATATATTTATTTTATAAAAATGTTAATATATTACTTCTAATATATTTTTACGAACGAAAAAAAAATTATCTGATAAATTTAGTGTCCAATTTTAAATTGGTTAATATGTATTAATATAAACTATATAAATATATATATTTAAATATTATTGCTGAAATATTTCAAGTACTTTTTTATTAAATTATTGGGTATTATAATAACTGGGACCTCATTTCTTACCGTTTTTAGCTCTTTAATTTTTTTTGTGAGTCCCAGAGTTTATTTATTTTAAAGTTATACTTTTATAAATATGATATATTTTTTATACGCTCTTATTAATTATTTATATTTATAAATAGACTACATTTTTAAAGTTTCCTATTAAATATTCATATTTTCATAAAAGTACTCACTTGTTTCCCTCTAAATTCGATTTGAAAATTTTTTGCCGATTCTTGTGTAACACGTCCTCCAAAATCCAATTGATATACTTGACTCATTTCATTCCACATTGGCGCTTTATTATGCATAACAAATTCTCTCCGCACTGGTGCTGGGTTGGAACAATTGGACAAACCATTCGGTTCAATTTTACCACGTTTCAACTAAACAATATTATTTATAAAAAAAGAAATGTTTTGAAATTAAAATCTTTGAGTTCTACCTTTTGTCTTAATTGTGCCTTTTGAAATGTCTCCAAATCACGGTATTGCTTACTGCAACCATTGTTGCCACCATTTTCTTCACCTGATCCATTAGTTAAATTAGCCTCATCATCTGAACTCTCTATAATTGTTTGTTTTTTGCGTTGCCTACGATTAAGTAGTGGAGAATTCAGTATATTCCTAATAGGCGAACTACTTTGGTGACGTTTGTTCTTTTTACTGGCGGCAGGTGATGCTGGAGAACTGCGTGGCATTCTTTGAGGTGAAGCTGGTGGCGTAAAACGACCTTCATCCAGATCACGTAAGCGACTTATGATATTTTCTAAAGTTGTCAATGCCTTTTGAAAAAATTACAAAAAAATAAATCATAGAATTTTAGAATATAGGTTTTACGTTTAAACATATATCGTACTTGTGTATGAAGAGAAACGGACGTTTTAGTTTCCACAGGTGTCGCTTCGATTGTAGTACCATTCCCATTTGTGTTAGATCCGTTACTATGTGTTTGCTGTTGTTGTGCTGTCTGATTCAGATTAGCAGTATGTTGTTGATTTGAGTTCTGTCCATTATTTTGTGCTTCCTTTCGTCTCCAGCGTACTTCCGACAATTGCTTCACTAAGCTGAAAGTGTTCGATGTGGTTGTGGTGTTCGCAGAGTCTCCGTTTGTTTCACCATTAGTCACTTCTTTGTTACGATAGTTCCCGAAACGGTGTTTGCGTGTGAAGAGTGGGCTATCGGTGAAACTGGTGATTATGTCCAAACGCTTTTTGACTGGTGTTTCAATTTTTTGGGACTGCTGTTTACAGATATTATCAAATAGATGTACGTTCTTGTTTATAACTGTCTTTACTGGTGTCGGTTTAGCGCTTATCTCTAAGGTAGTAATATCATCTTTTGTTGTTGTTCCTAAAGCGCGTTGACAACGCTTGCACGGTTCGTTGGGATTCATATTGTTGCGACACTTAAAGCAAAGAGTATTGGCAGCACTACTGCAAGCGCTGCTCTCCGATATTTCACGCAGTTTCTGTAAAACTTTCTCATTGTCATTCTTGGAGAGTTTTGTTTGGGCGAACAATAAATCGCATGAATCCAAGCTCTTCGATTTGCCTGTTTGATGTAACTTAGGTTTTCGCAGATCCTAGTATTACAAAATAATTATATATAATTAATTCTTATTTCATTGAATTTTTTAACTATTTAGATGTCTACTTACCTCATTATTGCTGCGTTTCTTACGATTTTTTTTGTTGTCAACCAATATTAGTCGCTTATGAGGTGCGTCTTTTCGTAACGCTGATAGTGCTTCATCGGACGGTGTAATTGCCACTGAGTCTAAATAACCAACACTACAACTTCGCGTTATCGAGTCTGGTAAGGCCGGTGCTATGGAGACTACAGTTGGCGTGCGCTTCATACGCATTTCATTGCTTGTACCGGGCATAACAGCTGCTGCGCCACCACTTTGTTGTGTAGGTGATTGGTACTCTTCATCAATAAAAAGTATATCACGTTTTTTCGCACAATTTGCCACTGATTTAATTTTTGGATCCATTCGTTCTAGATTTAAATTAAGATTTAATGGTACGGGATTAACATGACTATTTGCAGATCGTATGGGTTCGGACATTATGGCATTTTTAACTTGAACTACATTATTCGCGTAATCCGCATTACATGAATATGACATTAAAGTGGTTTGGCCGGCTCCCGAAACTGCCGGCCGTTCAAATATAATATCAGTGGGAGCCACCGCGTTTTTTGGTGATTGTAATGTAGGGACGGAACCATCACAATAGAGTGGTGATATCGCATGACGTGACTGACAACTAGAATTTGAACTTGAACGACTATAATTATTTTTAAAACTACTATATCCTGGTCCAGGTCCAGAACGAGAACCAGGTGTTGTTGTTGTTATATTTTTTGGACGCGAAATTTTATTATTAGTTGTACCATTTGTAGTATTGTGAAGTACAGCAACAGTCGATGTTGAAGCTTGAATAGCACTATTGTTATTTGCTTCCAGTTGTTCATTGGAAGAGTCGTCATCATAAGACTCAGCTCTGGCTAATGGACTCATACCCATACTACCTGTAAGATTGTTACCGTTTAATGAGTTTTTATGTCGTGTCAGTAAACGATTAGGTCGAGGTGACATTGGTGCTATAGGTGGAGCGCTTTCATTGAGTCGTCGATGTGCTATGCTAGGAGGTTTTGTTAAAGGCTCATTTGTAGCTGTTGAGTTTTTTGGCAAACTGCTGTTTAATCCATTGGCGTTGTGTGCTGCTATAGCTTCATCTTCATCCTCAGAGAAGAGGTTTGGATTAAAATTTGGATCGGGCCCAAGTGGAAAATCGTCGCGTAGTTCGGTTATGACTAAAGTCATTTGCCGGGGTTGCAAATGCAGCAGGGACGTTTTATATGTTACTTGGCCTAAATTGGCTGGGACGGTTTTAGCAAGTCCATGAATTTTGAATTTAGTACCCCAAATATTTGAGGTAACTTCAACCAGTTTGACTTCCTGCAATCAAGTGGGAAATGTATGTCTAATTTCAATTAAGTTTGAATATGCTTACCTCGGGTAATGTGTCTACATAGGCAAGTTCATCCAAGCTATCCGGATCATTTGTTACTCCAGAACCTGTAGTTCTATCTGTATTACCTGTAGGCCGTTTTTTCTGTCTTATTTTACGCTTACGCGGTGTGCGGGGTGAACCACGACAACGATCTTCATACTCACTATCAGAAGAATCAGTACGTCCGCTATTACCCGTTGTAGTAGATTGACTTGAACCAGAGGAACTTTTTGAATCTGGCGAATATTGGAAAAATACTGAAGAATCTATTATTTAAGGGGAAGGGATATGCTTTGTTTAGGAAATATATGTAGAGATTTAAATTTAAATTTTACCGTTCACTTGTGGATCAAATATAACGAACTCTGGACGTATTTTCGATGTACGTTTGCCTTTTAGAAGTGGCACCAAGCCACCTAAATATTCTAAATACAGAGTATAACATGTACCGGAACTTAAATTGGAATCATCATCATGTCGTATCATTGTGCAGTGCAAACGAGTGGAACATACGGGAGGTCGCGAAACAAAT